AGAAGCATTACAAGATTCTTAAAACATGCACTGTATCTGGGGAATTCTTACAACACTTTATGAAGTGGTAGAATTTTGGTTATCCAGAAATGTTATGGTATAATAGACAAGGGCCTAACAATGACATACTGCAAAAAGCAACAGACCTAAATCAGAATGGCTTTCATCTCCTTGCTGCAGTAGATACTCCTTTTGTCTATTACTAATGGTGCGCTGCATGAACTCAGTAAGTTAAGAAGCCAGTGTAAGTATTTCCTATCATACATCATTTGTGCAACTTGCTATGTGACAGAAAATGCCTACGCTGATTTCTGCACTTGCAGCAATTCACCAATGAAAGTTATGCTGATGGTGTTATGCTGGTGAGCATAACAAATAGGGTTTGGGGCAGTATGTTTCAGGCAACTGATCAAGAGAAAACATGGTATATCCTTTTTGACCAAATTAAATTTTTTTTTTTTTTTGGAAAACTGATCTGTTTGAGTGCAAATGCAGCACTCTCACCAGCACACAAAATTACCAGGTGGTGATTGTGGGGGGAGATAACTTATATTGTTGCATTTTATGTGCCAACAATTTTGACTCTGTCCAGAAGAGAAAAGAAAGGGAATGGCTACATTAAAAATTTTTATTGCCACACATGAATCAACTTGGACCTCCCATATTCAAATACTGTATATAGCCTGCAGAGCCGGTTGTAAGGAATGGACTTACTCATAGTCCGTATTTCCAGGTAATCACTGAGACATGAATGGGCTGGTAAACCATTCTCCGTATTTTATAACTCCAAAATGCCTAGAAGGGTTGCTGTAAGCTGGAATTGTTTTGACAGCACACACCTATTATTATATGGCATATTATGCTGCTACATCCTTCTTATGGTTTTCTTTTTTCTCTCCCTCTTGAAATGGGGGAACACACAGGACTCTGCATTCTGGATTTGTTTCCTATTGATTAGCACACTCATTTCTAAGGTCAATGCAGTTTACTCCAGTGGCAAGTCCTTCATTCCCCTAATATAATTCTGGAGAACTATAAGAAAGCTGCTTGGAATGGTACTATCTATGAACTGAAACTCAGAAAAGCATAAAAGGAGGGCTGCTTGCCTGTTTTAGGTCTATTTTCCTCACCTGGATAGTCACCAATCTCTGCCAACGGGAAACTCAGCATATATTATATGCTTACAAATAGGTTTCCCGGACCTTCCACTGATTATTCCCTTACCATAAGACAGCTAAAAGACAGCACGCAGGGTTCACTAGATCATAACAGAACTTCACAGAGAGTATGATACTGCAGTTGCACATTCCAAAGGCTTATAAGAGCAAAACTCACTCCTCAAATCTATGTTTATGGAGTACAGCCAGTGTACACTGTGACTCTGCATATTTTGTCCTGGTAGCCTAATACCCACTTACTTAATTCTTCCGAGACAAAATGCAGATTCTGGAGTAATGGTGGTAGAGCAATCCACAGAGTAGCAGCAAAACCAAGCTTCCTGGCAACACCATCAACTGAGCAATTGCACGTGATATATAAAAACAAGTATACTTTTCATCCAATACAAGAAGGAACAGGAAGAGTTACTGCATAGACTCCCATTAACAAAGCCTTGTGATTAGGTGCGTAGCTGTAAAGCCATAGTTTGGAAATTCAAAGAGCCAACCTATGTAGCCTTGGACAATCTGCACAATCTGACTGTGACCTGCAGAAGAAGTAAAAGGTGAACTACTTCTAAGAATCTCTAAGCACTGGGTTGTCAGAAGTTGGAATCGACTTGACAACATGTAATTATTAATTATTTCTCTCACACTTATACATACATCAAACTGAAGGCATGTACATATGTGCCTTCCCATGGCAGCTACGATACCTTTTCCCGTTTTTCCCAGTTTCTGTTTTCCCTTACCTACAACACCATATCCACTTTAAGCTTTAAAAGAAATGATGGTTGGATTGGTTCTTGTGACAACTCTATGCAGTCAGTTTCTGCAGAGTTACTAGTAGCACCTGAGTTTTATTTTCTAAAAGGTTATTAAGAATGGCCAAAAAAAGGTATAATCAGAACCACAGTGGTGTCATCACTCAAATTACATATAGTATGCATCCTGAGATCTACTTAATTTTCCTCTCATTTTCCACCTTTTATATATCCCATAAGTTAAATTGTTGTTCAGCCACAGCAATGGTGTCACCACCAAATTCATCAATTTATCTGAAGTGAATGGCATATCCAAGTACAAGAAATAGAAGAATTACATGTAAAATTAGAGGCCTAGGAAATTCCCATAGCTCTTGTCCAGTGCCCGCTACAGTTTCAATTACACACCAGCCAGACAACTGCCCCCAAAATTTCTTTTAATGTTAAAAACATGTTCTATCAAATGTCAGGTAAAGTTCTTTTTGGAAAAAAGGATCAATATGTTGCCCCCTCCCCCAATTCTTTCTGCCTGCCATAAGCTAAAAATAAATGAGCAGAAATGATAAAGGCGAAGGTGTTCACTTTAATAGTTATTCAAAACCTATGTGATGTCATTTAATAAGCCATGCAGGGAACAAACTAAAGTGCAATGGTCACTTCCTTAAGTTGTGTAAGCAGTCAATCTGTAGAGGCCCCTGTGAGGTAGCTGCCACTGCCCCAGCTGAACAAGGAAATCACAGCCTACTGCTTCCCAGCAGAAACAAATGTAATTACGTCTTCACAGATGTAGGTAATTGGTGGGTGGAAAGAAATATCCAGCAAACACTGAGATCTACTGTTTCTATTCATAAAATGGGGGCAGGGAAGTGAGAGAGACTAAAGGTTCCAAATTTATTTAAGTAAACATAAGAACTATTTCAAGAATGATTTAATGCACATTGAAATCCTATTAGCATAAATTTACGCCACATAAGCCAGATAACATAACCATCTGGTGAAGGATATATTTAATTTAATACAAATTAAAACTTCCTATTCCTCCCCCCTTCCGGTTCTAAGTCTCCCTTGGGATTCCTTTTACTCGAGGGAAGCCTTTGGGAGCCTTGGCATGGGAGGGGGAGCATTTAAAGTCAGAAAATTACCCTAGCAATCAAGTGGCAATTTTCTGATATTAAAGTCTCCCCCCCCCCGCCACTCCATCTTGAAGCTCTCAAAAGGGATCCCTAGGATGCCTCAGGACCTGAAGGGAGAGGATAGGAATGTTTTAATTAATTAAACTAAAGATATTCATCACTGGCATAAATTTAGGCCAACAGAATTTCAGCCACTATCAATATATTAAAATACAGTATCCTTGTTGAAATGCAGAGTCTAATTTCTAGGTATAATATGTGTATTCAAAAGAAAGAAGACTACAGCAAAAATAATACTTGTTCCAAGGAGGCTTGTCTGGAATATATATCCTGCTCTACAGTTTCAGAAAGATCTCAAATATTGCTTGCAAAACAGAGACATAGTAAAACGATAGAGAATACGTGAACATATGCGCTTCTCCGTAGGAGTATAGTCCCTTTTTATCATCATTATCATTGTTACTGTTATTATAAAATATTTTTATCTCATCTTTCTCTTTATAAAGGACCCATTAGATGCCACAGCAGAGCTCTAGAAAACATGGTCTGTCAGCACAGAAATGTTACTCAGAAGACTTAAATGGATCTCTCAGCCTAGGGATGCAACATTCCAAAGAACCGAGAATAAGATGTTATGTCACATTATTCAGGCAGAGAGCTGAAAGATGAATACACAACCACCCTATAGTATTGAGAGTTGTGATGAACAGCAAGGTAGGGATATATCTGAAAAAAACCCCAAATCTTTGTCAACAAGTAACTACAATACTGGAGAAAATGTCTTTTTTTTATCTTTCTCTCAAGGAAGTGTCTACACCACAGGAGAAATGTATGTGTCTGTGTACGTGCGTGCGCGCACACACAAAATCCATCTAAGATGTGCTTTCTAAAATACAGAATTTCCAAGCCGCCTTAGGCTTGCTGGATATTTTTTGAAAGAAAAACAAAGCCAATACAGCTGTAGCATTTCCAGTATTAACATGCAATGTAGGCCTTGGCTGCTCAGAAATGCAGTGACAGGCCATGAGAATAAAGACTCACTCCTGACAACCAATGTTTATTCTTTTTTCTGTTTTTCAGAACAGCAGGCAGACTCTTAGGTAGATTAACTAATAGGAGATATTTTAACTAAACGGCTTGTATTTACAGCTCCTTTAGCAGGAAACGGGTAAGAAAATACTAAAACTGGTTGGTTTTTAAGAAAGAGCCATTACCTGCTTAATGAACTGTAAGCTGTCTCACACTTCATCAACTAAACATACGGGTCATCCATGCTGAACTTTTCGGCAATAATGGGATTTCATTTAATTGTCGAATTACACAAACATCAGGTAAAAGTCACACGGTTAGTTAAAAACAAATGATTTCATCAACTGGCACCTCTACAAGCCTGACCCCTTGGGCGTAGAGCAGGCAGCCATGCCGTGCTCGTGGGGACTTAACCCCAAATCCTGCTGGTTGCCCTGCAGCAGAACCGTGTCTGCGTGTTTATTCAGACAAACCCCCTGGGTGTTTACTTCCGAGGGGGGTTGTGTGGCTCAAGCTCCAGCCCTGAAATCTCGCTCCCCTCCCTCCAACGAAGGGAAACGCAGGAACAGCAGCTGGGGAGTCGTAGACCGAAGGGAGGTGTTGTCCCGTCTCCATTTAAGAGAGGGAGAGAGGGAGATTCCCACGGCTCAAAGCAACGAGTGTGGAAGGGAGGAGAGGGGAAACCAGCGCCCCGACCCCACGTCCTGCTTGCTCTTCGTGGTTATGTAAAGCCGCGCCGCCGGCCCTTTCCAGTTCGCGCCGGAGGCCTTCGCAGCCTGGGACGGCCACGGGGGGAAAAGCCCGCAGCCCGCTGCAGCGCTGGGGGCGGCGAGGAGCGCCAGCAGCAAATCAAAGCGAGGCCCCGGCGGCTGAAGGCCTGCGCCGCCGGCCCGGCCGCCAAGAAGGTCACCACTCACCACTTGGTATCGGCTAGCAGGCTGCTGGTGATGATGCTCCATCCCGGGGACAGCGGCCGACTCCGGCCCGGCAGGCTCGCCGCTCCCCCTCAGCTCGGTGTTTTTGTCTCCCCCGCCTTGACCGCCGCAAAAGCCCCGGTGGCTCCTTGACGCCTTCCTGCTTCTTTCCTCCCCCCCTTTTTTTTTTTCTTCTTCTTCTTCCTCGCAATCCCTCCCTCCCTCGCTCCGGAAGCCCGGGCAGCTCCTCCCCTTCACAGCCGCCTTCTTCGAGACCGACGCCCCGGCGCTGGCTGGCTTGCTGGCTCGCTCTGTCAAGCCAGCCCTTCCTTCTTCAGCTGGACGGGCGAACGTGAGAAGCCTCCAGGAGACCTGGCCCGGGTAGAAGGCGGGCTGCAAGCGCTACACGTCTGCACCCGACGCGGTGTCACATGTCCTTTGCTCTTTGGGAGGGCGGTACAGGCTCAGGAAAGGCCTCCTCCGAGACAAATAAACGGCTTCTGCCTTGATCCATTACACCGAGCCTCTCAGCTTGACCGACCTCCTATGGTTGGCTATTGTGAGGCAAAAGCAGCCCTGTACGCCAGCTAGTCCGTCATAGGACTCAGGAGACGTGGGGCCCATACACGCGTGGCCATGGAAGCTGGGGGGGGGTGTATGTGTGTGTGTCAGTGGGATATCACTGCTTAAAATATCTCAGTTGTCTTGGAAAAACCCTATCAAGTGTCACTAAAAGTCAGTTCCAACTTGACACGTAGATCCATTAAATCTTAAAGTGTCCCTACCAGCACAAAAATGGCTAAACTGAGGTTATCTGTATTTTGGGCATATAATAAGACAACACTCACTGGTAAAGACAATAATGCTAGGAAAAGTATAAGGCAGCAGGAAGAGGAAGACCTCACGCAGGAGCTGGCCAGGCTGTTTATGGTAGAAGTGTTTGGCGGTTACCAACAAAATTTAATATGTCTTGAGGGCACATAACAACACAAACTGAGATGTTCCTTTTTAAGACATAAGACATAAGACATAAGAAATTTATTTGTCATTGCGCTCACAAGTGGGTGCAACGAAATGAGGTGCTCTTCCCCAAGGTAAAACTGGACAACACTACAAAAAAAAGTTAAAATATACACAACTTTCACCATCCAAATACCTGTGATATCTCTTTACTCACTCTTCTGCTTTTTACTAATGTGACAAGGGCTACACAACGGAATGAAGTGGCGTAGAACCCTAAGGTGGTATAGCTCAGTTAAAAATTCACAGCTGGTGGAATCATATTTATTATTGTCACATCCTGGCTTTCTGACTGGTGAACCCAAGATGGCATGCTGAATGGGAATCGTGTTAGTGTACCACCCTACCAGAGCTGACAGACTTCGTCTCAAGTACGCTATGGAAGTCCCTCAGACTTTCAGTTCTGTAGGACTTTAACATCCATGCATGACATATGTTGCTGGGGCAGCCTTGGAGTTCATGGACATCATGCCATCCATGGGCCTGTTCCATGGGTCCTACACCTGTGGCAGGGCACACCTTGGACTTGGTGTTCACATCTCAGCAGAGAAGAGGATCTGAAGGTGGTAAACCTCAAGTATTCTGCCTTATCATGTTAAGATAGTCACCTGCTGAGATTTGGAATTTGTACAACAGTACCACTTTGATGGGTGGAGGGACCTATTAGACTGATCCACCCATGAAATTGATGGATCCCATTAGTTTTCAAAATAGTATTTTTTTTCCAGCAGATTTGGCACTCATTGCAGAACTTATCCCTCATCATGGTCTATGGAAAAGTTGAGGGCAATCAAGCAATTAAGAAGATGGCTAGAGAGGAGATGAAAGAAAGTTCCCTTGGAATGCATGTTGGCTGCATATTGTTATTTAAGGTAGTAAAAAGAGACTTTAACAGCAAATTGATTAACACAGCCTCCAACCAACAGGTAGAACTCTTTTGAGTTGTCCACAACCTTACAAATGCACACATTACAACCAACAGAAAATTGCAACCAACTGGCAGCCATTTCAGATCCAAGACTGAATGCATCTATCAGGACCTAAATTCCTTATTTATCCCTGTAGATTGAATTGATACGTCCAGTCCGCCTTCTAATCAGATTTTACTGAATTAGTTTCAGTTAGTAACTCCTGAGGATGTGAACAAGGCACCTGCATGCTGTAAAGCTACTACCTCTTTTTTAGATACTGTACTTGCCTATCTTGGCTATTAAAATCTGCCAAGGATTCTACATTAGAATGGGCCACCAATGTCATCAGTGCTTCTCTTCAGGAAAGCCATGTGTCCTCCTGTTTAAACGAAACTATAATAAGGACCATTCTTAATAAAACTTAAAACTTGGTAACAGAGAATTTGAACAACTATAGACCCATTCAAATATTTCATTTTTAGACAATTGAGAGGATGATAGCTGACCAGTTGCAGGCATTCTTAGAAGAAACTGATAGAGTGGATTCATTTCAGTTAGATTTTAGGCTGTGACATGGTACTGAAACAGCATTGGTTACCCTGCAATAAAATATCCTAAGGGAAGCAGACAGGAGCAGTATAAACCTGTTGATCTTCCTGGATGTTTCTGCAGCATTTCAAAGCATCAAGCATGATATCCTTCTGGCAAGGCTGAGTTTAAGGATTGGGTGCTCCATTCTCCACTGGTTACAGTCTTTCCTTGAGGGTCAAATCAAGATGATAGTTGGGGATGCTGTATCCACCCCTTGGGACATCTACTACAGGGTCCTACAGAGGTTGACCATCTTTCCAGTGCTTTTTAACATCTACATCAGTGGCTCTCAACCTTGGGTTCCCAGATGTTTTTGGACTAAAGCTCCCAGAAGTCTTCACTACTAGCTGTGTTGGCCAGGGCTTCTGGGAGTTGCAGTCCAATAACATCTGAGGACCCAAGCTTGGGAATCACACATCTCTATGAAGCCCCTGGGAGAAGTCATATGGAAATTCAAGTTTGGTGTGTCCAGTACGCTAATGATATACAACTCTACCTCTCCTTTGCTCCATCTGCAAATTCTGTTGTATAGGTCCTTGAGTGTGGCCTAGCGTCGATAATGGACTGGACAAGGGCCAATAAACTGAAAATGAATCCAGATAAAGCAGAAATCTACTGTTAGGAGAATTGCTACACTGGTTAGAGGGAAATTTACTTGGCCTTGATAAGGTTACGCTCATTCTGAAGGACTGGATCCTAAATATTGACTTTGACCAAGCGTGTCTTTTATCAATTCTAGTTGATTGAACAGCTACACCCTACCTGGATAAGAAATGCCTAGTAACAGTGGACCACACATTGGTAATCTCAAAAATAAAGTACTGTAATGCTCTCTACGTAGGGCTGCCCTTGAAAACAGTACATAAATGTCAGTAGGTTCAAAATGCAGGAGCCAGACTGGTATCTGGGATTAATAAATTTTATCATATATCCTCAGTCTGATGAGCCTTAATTAGCTCCCTGTCAGTTTCTGTGTTCAATTTCAGGAGCTGGTTATGACCTATAAAGTCCTTCAATGGCTTAAGACCTCAATACATGTCCGAATGTCTCTTCAGAAATCAGCTACCCATTTCATTTGCTCCACTCGGTCCATGTTACTGAAAGTGGCCACGCCGAGAGAAGCCAAAAAGGTGACAGCAAGGAATCAGGCCTTTTCCATGGTGGTTCACAGTCTTAAGTTACCAACAGACCTGCCAGTCTCCTTCTCACCTTATGTTCAGGAAATTGGTGAAAACAGAGTTATTCAATGTTGCTTTCAATAACAGATTCTCTTGGACGCTGTTAATTTTAATGTTTATTTTTTCTCTTTTTTGTATGAATTTTAGTCCTGCACTGTTAGATCACCATATCATTGAATGCATTTTGTTGTGTTGGGGTTTTCTGGGGCTTAAGTTTTAACATGTAAACCACACAGAGCAGTGCTTACACTACTGGATGGATGGATGGATGGATGGATGGATGGATGGATGGATGGATGGATGGATGGATGGATGGATGGATGGATGGATGGATGGATGGATGGATGGATGGATGGATGGATGGATGGATGAATGAATGAATGAATGAATGAATGGCTGTCTTCACTGCTTCATCTCCAAAACCGCCTGAGAGATCAGTCAAGCTGAGTGACAATGATTAGCTAGTTAGTTTTGTGGCTAAGTGGTGATTTGAAACTACATCTTTCAGGTTTCAGCCCAAAACTCAAAGTCAGGACAAATCAAAGTAATGGCTCTTCTGATACTATTGCAATCTATTTCTGTTATTCTTCATCATTGGCTGCGCAAGTTAGAACTGCTGGACCTTGCAAGTCTACCAACATCTGGAGGACTGCACTTTGCCCATCCTGTCTTTGACCACTAGTTATCAACTCTTCCCCATGTCAACAGTCTCCTTGCTATCTCAAAACAAAATCCAGGACAAGGAAGAGAATGGTTCTTAGCTGGAATCTGCATTTTCATTTGTTTATTTACTTATTTAAAGGATGTAGAATAGAGTTGTAAATGTCATCATCTGTGACAATGCTCTGAACCCTGAAACTAGCCAGCCAGTCCAGTGGTGACGCATGGGAGGCATTATAGTTCTGGAGTTACAAAATTAGGAAGCATGTGGTTTCTTCATCGTTCTATGCAGAGTCAAGATTAACCTGCTTGTCAGCAAGCTCACAGGGCTGTTTTGAAGAATGCAAAATGGAGAGAACCATTTGTCACCCTCAGAGTCTTAAAGGAAGAGTAGGATCAAATATTTTTGCTTCCTTATTGTGTAAATGGCACAGTGACACATTCCTTTACCTTTATTTGCTGCCATGTATGGTGCCAAGCCTTTGGACAATCCCTAAAAAATTTTAAAAGCATTTGGTAATGTCTCTCACCAGCTGCTAAGTAGCTTCTAGGCTGTAGTCCAGTGAGTGCACAGCCTCATCTGTTGTGATCTTCACTACCAAAGAATAAAAAATTATGACAAAACCAGACACTTAGGCACTATTTAATGAGCGATCCTTCTTTTAAAAAATAGGAAATGGGAAGTTGCAGTAGATTCAAGGGTATGTGTGTTTTAAAAAGAAAAATCAGTATAATGTGACGCCTGGTGCTCCTAAATAGTGATAATACTGTCAGATTCCACCCATGATCTGACTGACTTAGTTGTACAGTATGTGCAAAATATTTCCCCCCTGTTTTTTCCCAGTATTGTTTTTACACTAGTCTGTTGCTATTAATAGTGATGGCAGTGGAAGATAATGGTCCTTTGCTAGCACTGAAGTAAATTCAACTCTCAGTTCACTTGGCTTTTATACATAAAATGGAGGAGAACTGGAGACCTTCTTTGCTTCAGGCAACAAAATGGGATGGTCCTGCCTATCCTCCTCAATTTTACTGGCTCAGTGCATTTAATTCTCTCTTGTACCACACTTGAGAATGTCTCCTGTTTACATCTCACAAAAACCTCTTCACTGCCACTGCAGAGGCCTTTGGGTATAAAGGCAGTTACTTTTATAGGCGCTTGCAGGTGACTATATAAAGT